AGGCTGGTGCTGATGGATGTAGAGGTTGTATAGTGGCTGTATGACACGCCGCACCAGAAAATCGGACATTGCTTCAACTGCGTTTCCTGAAGTCATCATTTGTTGCGATGCTCTCTAACAAACCCAGACTTGCGCAAAGGGCGCAGCAGGAACGTGCAGGATTGGATTGTTGTAAAGTAATCTCATCTGGCAGTCTTTGTGAGGGCATCCCTTCGTGTCCTCCGCATCTTGCTTGGAAGCGCGACGCGCCAAACCAGTGCCTGTGGAATGCACTTTCTCACGGCCCTCTTCAAGAGCATGTGCCGGTCATTCTCCAGCGATTCTGCACATGTAAGTAATCAGAGTGTAATATATACACACAAATAATTTAATGCTCCCCTATACCCCCTACAGCCGTTCTCGCCGATCTTGCCTCTGTGACTTTCTCGGCGCCACGCCGCTGAGAAACTAGCGGGCTGAACCTTAGACTGTATACTCTAGTATACTAAAACAAAAGATCATATACATAATATACTATTATAGAGTTATAGCATACTGAAAAAACTACTATAGTATACTATGGTAAGCCTGAAAGGCAGGAACCACATCCCTCAAGAGCAACCGTCAAGATCGCATGGTTCAACCTGAGAAGCTACACTTCCACAAACTCCGCACTTCTTTGCCCCGAGGCCGTGCCAGGCCGTACTGCTGCCTAGAGGGTGGGCACATGTCGCTCCGGCTGTTTCCGCGTGGCACAAGCAAATGCTGGTACTGGAGCAGACATGGCAGCAGGACAGTGGACTTTCAATTGGAGAGAAAGCCTTATCATTTCGCAAAGAGGTTTGTTGAGGGACACGGATGCTCTGTGCAGGCGCTGACTGCACTCCTTTCAAGGTCCTGCTTGTTATCTCGTAGTACACACCCTTCACGTCGCCTGCAGCATGTCTGGGGTATACTTTCCTGCTATGCGTACGGTAAAAGACACATTGCGTCAAGTGACCCCTGACCCTGCTTATAAGACTCCGACCCTCATTAGGATGCCTAAACCCTAAACCCTAAACCTAGGATGCTTGAAGCATTGGCCAAGTGGCAGCCAGGAAGCCCAGTGTGCCTAGCAAGGCAGGGAAGTCGCCCTAACTTCAGGGCAAACCTGACTGAACCACAAGGTTTAGGGTTTCGGGGGTTTAGGGTTTAGGGTTTAGGGTTACGCCAGGATGCAGAGTAGGAGGACATTGCGAGATCTTCTCCCACCAACTTCGGCGCGAGAGCACACCATAGGCACAAGCAGGAGAAGTTGCACGGCTGATGCGTAGAGGCGTGAGTAGAGGGGCCCGGGTCCCTGGACGGTTTAGGGTTTAGGGTTTAGGGGTTTAGGGTTTAGGGGTTTAGGGTTTAGGGGTTTAGGGTTTAGGGTTTAGGGGGTTAGTTGATTTTCCAGTGCACCGTCTCTGATGACCAGGCTGACGCTATCTTTGGTTGTGCGGGTAGCAGTCCAGCAGAATCAATGGAAAGCTCTGAAAGTCCGTGGGGGTGCTAAAGTCTAGCTCTGGGTTGGCATGGCCGGTGGAGCAGCCTGTCAGCTTGATGGTTGAAAGCTGCTGTCTGCGCAGGATTCGGCAGTCTTGCGATGACCTTCGCTTGAGAAATCGCATGGCTGCATAAATGGACACCTGTGCTGCTGGCTCTGACGAAGCCCGACCACTTGGCCATTCCATCTGGATCCGAGAGGGATTTCAAAACAACGTATTTGCAATAATACCGTGTTGGTTCTTATAGGTTTCCGGCTGAAAGACTTCTTTAGACCTGGAGCGTTCTAGCGAGCGCTTGCTTTTTGGAAGCGCTTCTTGTCCGGGACGATCAGCTGACATCCTGCCGTCGGAAGCCCATGCAGCTCAGTGATGGAGAGGTCGGTGCGCAGCTCGCCGGAGATTTCAGTCATGAATCATGGGAGCCCGTCGAATCCTGAGCAGCAGCAGGAGTCATTGCTTAGTTGCTGAGTGTACAGACCCCCAAAAGCATGCAGTGTACTCATTCAGCTACAAAGACCATGCAAAATATGCAGCAGCTGACGCTTGACTTGAGACCAATGCTGCATAGCCAGCAAACCGGATCATGAATTCCATCCACATCTCTGTGTGAAGAGAAAGCATACAATAACCTGGCGTTCGTCGAAGCGTGCTCGAAGATGCAGTCGAGGTGCGATCGTCAGGTTTGTAGGGACTTTGCGCTAGCAGCGGCGTTGCTCGAAACCACTTCTGCGCCACCTGCAAGCCGCAAAGCACAATCGCGGCGGATATGCAAGCCAACGTTCTCATACGCTTGACTATAGTGTTGCTGGAAGGTGATCAATGAGCTGATGTCTGAGTCCTGCACCAGCTTTCCTGCTGGCCTCAGTCCAGTCACACGCTACACAGTCCGGTACATACACGCATACAAGAAGACGACTAAGCTCACAAACAACAGGGGTCCAACTTCAGGCGCGCCGCAGGTTTCGAGAGTGTGGTTATGTGAAAATTATTCTCACTCCCCCTGTCGCATCACTGGGGGCACACTTCTTCTTATCCAGGGCTTGCTGCAGTAAACATGTACGGTAACTGCTCGTGATGTGTGTGTAGTTGGGGCTCGTATTCCAAGTCTACGTGTGTAGTACACTGGCACTGCTTGTGAAGCCATTTACCCTACTCCACGCGGCTTGCCAACTCACGCATCACCATGGAGAGACGTACAAAATCACATGTAATTGATGCACAGATTTCGGGCATCATAGCAAATGTTGGCACGATACAGGCAACACAGCTGCAGCCGGAGTCATCATTGCAGTTAGCGAAAGACCGCCTCGACAGGAGCTGACCCGTGTGCTAAGTGGAAGCGTTGCTCTCTACAAGGGCCTTCGCGGGGCTTTCAGGGTAGAGCGAGAGAGAGACAACAACAACAAAGTCAAGAAAACACTAGGCGGACGGGGGAGACATGGAGGGTGAGAGATAGAGGACCCGGCGGATAGACCGACGCACCGATGTCCTTCCTGAACCCCATGCTTGAAGAAGCTCAGTGCCAGTCCCGGCGGGGCATGATCCGTGCCTGCATGGCAACGACACTGCTCAATACGCTAGTCGCGACATGATACACAACTCTTCTTGTGACGACTCTGCAACGCATCGTGATGGATATGTTTGCTATTGCTGTCAACCACGGCGGAGTCAGCTTCTGACCGAATCCGTCTCTGATGGGAAACCTACTTTCCTGATTTGCCTAATAAATAAAAAGTGCCTCGAGGTTGGGTCCGGCACTCCGGAAGTGGTAACTGACCTCGAGCTGCGTCAACTAGCAGAGAGCGCTCAGCAGCATCATTTGTAGTTCATATGCACTCCGCGAGTCAGCTGCATGAGGATCCCAGCTGAGTCTGGTGGTCAAAAATGCACGGACACGCCGCTGCCTATGAATTCCGCTGTCCCGGCAAGCAGCGCTGAGGTTGATTCTAATTTTGCCCAGGTGCCGGAACAACAAGGCTCGCCCCTTGCGCGGTGGCACCTCGCTGTGAGGATTTTTCCGCATGATGCAAAGGCACAGTGGATATCCGTCAGGGAACACACAGGACATGTCGGACATGACTTGATGTGAACAACACTCAATGTCAAAGCATGAAGCCAAACACTCAACTTGGCTTGTGAACTAGGGTTCCTTTCTAGCATCGGCGGGATGCTATTGGACTGATTCCAGGGACAAGTCAAGGGGACGGTAATGCAGCGTGGATTTTGTAAGAACGCTGCGACGAATGGCGGTCCCAACAGCATGCCATCACCGCGCTGGGAAGATGCCTGGCAATGCGCAGTTTCGAAGCTGGGCCGTCACAGGCAAGGCCTCGGGCATGGGCTCGGAACGTTGTAAGTCACTGCGCAATCACATCAAAACTAGATACCTACGGGCCCTTGGCGATGAAGCGCGGCTCATGTTGTTTTCGGTGGCTGTCTTCCGTCACTCGCTGTCGTCCAAGTCAATTTCAGCCTGAGCTGCTTGCGGCTTTCAAGTGCCGATTTCTGACTGCTCCGCATCACCATCCTAAACCATTGTGGGTCACTGGGTAGACAATAGCGCATCAGAGCCGGTCCCTAATTACTTTCCGTAATTATATGTCGTAACAGCATACTTTGGTAGACCACAACAGATTCAACAAACGGGAACCATGAGACGCTGCAGCAGCCGAGCAACACATGCGGCACCGCCGAGGGATGCGAAGGCAGCTGCGGCCCCCGCCTCCGACAGAAACTGCCTTTTATCAGAGGGGCCTCCACGTGCATGAGTCATTATGACAGGCTTTTGACCACCAACGGATACTAAATGTTCCCATGTATTCCGACCTCCAGGTGGTGGGATAATGGTACCTCTAATATGCACAGGTACGTGGCATAGTGCTCAAGGTAAACGGGTGAGAGCAACTTCCTGTCAAACCACTGCAATACATCCTGAGGTTTCGTATGTTTAGTAGCATCAGTAGTCCGTTGGTTCGGCGGATTTGTGGTTGCAGCTGCTGCGCATGCTTCCGCCGTACATCACTCTCACCTCTTAACTAGAACGAAATAGTACCAGAACAAATTTTTGTGCTTATCCGGCTTATCCTTTGGTTCATAACTTACGACCTGAACTACACACGCCCCGCAGCCTGGCTGGCTTGGCGGCCACGACCCCGGCGCCCTCGGCCACGTCCCCGAGCACGCGGTGCCACGGAGCCCTGCAAGGATAGCTTAGCGAGTTTCGACGCTCACATTTGGACAATCCAAGCTTAGAGAGTTTAGGGCTACGATCAGGGCGTAAAACGTGATGGATCCCATATCACAAGCACTTGCACTGCAAGAACTGATAATGGCCAGATCATGCTAAGAACGCCTATGACCTGTGCACGTGACAGCTGCAAAGTGATAGTACCAGCCCAGCAACTCAGCAGAATGACAGACTTTGTGGCGAGCAGCTTCCTCCGGTGTTCGAAGGAACCCTCAAAACGCTATTCGTTTCGAGGAGCCTGCACGTCACCATCCGCGAGCACCGAGCATAAGGTTGCTCAGTGTGCTCTGCTCATCTGCGGATGTGGTAGACGGCAGGAGAATTGGCAGCTGCTGTATTGCATGCGCATATGCTTGCATGGGATCGTCTTCGACGGCCCACAGCAACTCCAACCTTCTGATCACCTTTTTTTGCATCCAGACCTCTGTGCACACCCGAGGGTCGAGCAGTCTGACCAACAGAGACGCCCATGCCTGGCGCTGATGCACGCTGAGCTCGCGGACAACGGTCCCAAGAGTCTTGTGGATAATCCATATCAGCGGTAAGTTGGGTCTGCCGGATTGCACTTGAAAGTAGATCAAGTCCAACATGGCTCCTCCGATACGCTGCTGTACGAAAGGGAGCCCAATAGCCGCATATTGCCCAACAACGTAGTGGGCGGCCCAATCAGTGCAGGACCCAGTTGGACTCAGGCTGTACCGAAGCAAACTGTGGACGTTCTTGCCAACAATGCGGTGCACATCGCTTCCGGCGAAATGCGTCCTGCTCTTGGAAGCGAGGGCCATACACCACAACTGACACTCGAAGATCTTCTGCTTCTCGGCATCATCACCTTCAAAGGCTGCTGTGTTTGGGATGGTTGGGTGTCGGAACACCGTCATCTTATCTGCGAATTCGAAGACTGACTCGGCCCTTTCCATGCTCCCCATATCGGCCACATGATGGATCAAGGCTGATGGACTTCTGGTTTCATGCGATAGCAGGCGCCAGTTCAGCAGATCCTGCACTGTGAGGTACGGCAGCATATCCGGTAGGAGCAAGTCGCAAGGAGCAAACTCTGAACTGCTGGCCGTCGGGAGATCGGAAAACGTGGAGGAAAACGTCGGCGCTGACTTTGGCAACGACGAATGGACACCAGTGCAGACCCCAAAGTCCCCGAAGTCTGTCTGGCGAGCTACATCAGCCTCGTCATCCCGGGACCTGCGTGCCTGAGAAGAACCTCTGGGCTCAGACTTGTCGTCGGAGATCAGCTGCTCCCTGTCCCTTACTGGGGACTCGAGCCATTCAAGTGCACGAGAAGGTGCACGTATGTGCTTCGAGCCATTCAAGCGCACCAGAAGGTTTGCGCTCACTTGGGATATCATGGCGGGGCTCTGGGTCGGAGGTATCATCCGAAACTAGAATCCACTCTTCATGCCCGGAGTCGTCATCGAGAATCGCATGCTGATCCGTAGGCATGCAAGTGGTGCCACTGCTGTAAGCCCCATTCAATAACTGCAGCTCCAGATAAACGATCTGGTTCTGCTGCTTGCTAAGCTCCTGGTGCGCCTGTATGAAATACATGAGGTCCTCGCTGGACCAGTGTTCGTTGGCTCGGCTGCGGCGCTGCCACCGCTTCCACACCATGGCTCGGCAAGAAGAGCCAATGCTAGCTACAGCTAGGGAGCAGCGAACAGAGATGGGAAGACCATAGATACTGCTACGAACACCCTCGATTGAAACTCTCCCCACACTCCATTGGTTGTTGCTTCGAGGGACAGTGCAAGATAGTGCAGGTCAATGCTTTGGCTCACCGCTGGCTGCCGAGCTTGGGCCAAGACCGGGGTTTTGCACTTCCCCTTTTATTGGCCCTCTCCCAATTTAACTCTCACGGCAAGGGTATGGTCAGGACGCGAGGCTCGGGTTTTGGCGGTTGATGGCCTCCAGGATTGAAGACACATGTATCGGGGTCTCAGTGTGTTTGTCCTCCAATCTTGACTTCTCGCGTTTTCGCCCTGTGACAGATAAGTGTTAAGATTCTCAGACTTAGACTGCACGGTATGGAGGTCCGCTGCAGAGACACAGAGAGAGAGAGAGAGGGGGCGAGAGAGAGATCCGAAGAAACTAAACCTTAAACATTCCCCACTTTACATCGCAGCTAATGTTCGTGCAACATGCCAAGTGCCTCCGCATCCCCATTTCGCCGTCGCCTACGCCGAGATAGGCCTCCGCAGAAGTCCATTGAAACTCTGCTGCCCGAGAAGTACACCCGTAGCACCCACATGATGGGGATCCTTTCTGCGGTTTTCTTACATACTTGCATGGACGAGTAGCATTTTCCTTGGAGTTATAACTAGTTATAACGTTTGTATAAGTATACAGCCACCGAAAAGTAGTGTGCACAATAATACCATGAGGTGGATGAGTAAGTAGAAAAGGGTGTTTCGGGGTATGCTATACTACACTTGTATAGACCGCGTAAGGGCATACTTTTACTAAGTTTTCCTCCGTAGACCCTACACCCCTATACATATTCCCTATACATATTCACGAGGAGGAGTTTTTGCATCCGGGCCTCATACCCTAGACCTTAAGGGTTTAGGCAACCCTAAATAAAGCAGGAAAGAGCTTGAATCAGGTTTAGGGTTTAGGGGTTTGGGTTTTAAAACCCTTTTGCAACTGGCCTGCTGCGACGCCGCCAGGACGAACACTTGACCACAAATTAAACCCGAAACCCCTAAACCCCTAACCTGGATCAAATTCCTTTGAGGCTTTAAAACCTAAACCCTAAACCCTGTGCCTCCTGCTTCTGCCTCACCGGCGTCTGCAGCCTGGCCAGGCTCGTCTTCGGGCTCGGGCGACTCACCGCGGAGACCACGCAATGCCTCGGAGAGAAGGCAAGACGCCAGGGCTTCTACCCATAGGCCCCATAGTTCCTGTTTGGGATTACCTTATAGGATTCTAAATATGAACCCCAAAGGGGAACTACTATGGGGCCTATGGGTAGAGACTATCCTTGGGGTCTTCATAATAAGGATCCTGCTAGTTTTGGGATAATTTGGGTTAAACTTTAAGAACAGTTTGGGTGCTTGGTTTCCGAAACGGGGTTCGGCAGAATGGCTCAGAAAGTCAGGGGGTACTTTGAAGTAGAAGCCTAGGCGCCCGTTGCATCCGGCTTGACCGGACCACAGCCACGTCGCCAGCATCCGACGGAATCATGTACTCCTCAGCTCAGGGTATCATCTTCTGCATCTACCAGTTTAGGGTTTAGGGTTCAGGGTTTAGGGACCAAATCTAGGAGGCTGTCTTGCTCCCAAAAGTAGCCATGTCGGTGGTTGAACAAACATAGCACCCAAGTCCATGAGTCAGACCCCTAAACCACACTGGTCAAGCTGAGGCTCAGTGATGCGAGGTTGGCGAAGCGTATCCTAGCAAACAGGCGTTGGTGAACGAGGTAGGAAGAGCCCGGTGGCGTATCAGGCTGGCCCCGCAAACCCCTGCAATTTCGCGTCTGCTCAACCTTCTTGGTGCAACACAAGTGGAGGTCAGTATTACAAGGAACTGCATATGTACTACTACACGTATGACCTTCTCGGGGCCCATCGGGTGCAACATTGTCGAATCCGGGCAGGTTTGTATGTTGGGATAAAGTTTGTGTGGTTGTGCGCTGGGAGAGATCCAAGGCATGGGTTAACACCATGACTCTAAGGCCAACTGCTCTTCAGGAACACTTTGCAAGCTCGTGGCGGCAGTCGACCACTGCGTCCACTCATTTGGCCTCCGTCGTAGCATACTTCTTATTATCTACTCCCCAAAACTCTGTTGTAACCATTAAATAGCCTCTAAAGTAGACTAAACCCCAAACCTGAAACCCTGAATAAAAGAACCCATAGCCATGTCCGCACCGAAGCCAGAAAGAACCACACTGCAAGGCGGCAACACGGTCACGTCGAAAGCAAGAGCTTGGCCTCGTAACGTCGCACCGCTGGCTCCAGTCGCTCTAGGATCTTCTCCTGCAAAGCAGGGTCTAGGGTTTAGGGATGTTTAGGGTTTAGGGTTTACACTCTCACAACTCGGACAAGCCAGGCGAGGATCCATGTTCGAAAGTCGGCGTGAAAACATTGGAAATCAGGATGCCCAGGGTTTAGGGTGTAGGGTTAAGTGAGTAACTGAAGCACTGCAAGGATTAAGGGTCTTGGAGTTTAGTCTCTTCGGGCCGCAGCGGTCATTCCCCAAACCGCAGAAACTTCGATCTTTTCTCCCTCCCGCTAGCTGACTGACTGGGTCGCACTGCTGGGACAACACTGCAGCACACTCAAAACTACCTCAGCCCTAAAGCAATTGTAGCAACCCTTAGAGTACCGCTTAAAGTATCCCTGTCGTAGCGTTGTTAATTCGAAACCCCGAAACCACTCCAACAACATAGAGACGGCAGGACTGTCATGTGCATCGAACTGGGGTAAGGCTCCAAGGTTTACACTCTCACAACTCGGACAAGCCAGGCGAGGATCCATGTGCGAGTGTCGGCGTGAAAACATTGAGAGCGAGTATGCCTTCCACTACTCCGCAAAAATTAAACAAGTAGAGAAAACTGCAAGGCTCCAAGGTTTAGAGCTTGAGATGCATAATCCGATGCCTCTGCAAGCGGTATGGACCTTGCAAAAAGCAAACTTTGCCTCTGTCAAATCGCACGACTTCTGCAGCTGTACCTGGATTCAGATCATGGGTTGGGTCTTTTTGCCAGGAAAGCCAGTCATCGATGACTTGACAATATGCTACACATGTCTGCAGATGGTATATTATGACTTGCGCATCCCAGGCTGGGCAGTAGGACAACAGCACATTCAGTGAACCTAACTCAGTGATTTGACATCACTGGTTCAGTGAACTGGCATTTTTTGAGTGATCGCAGTATGCATTGCGGGCTGGAAGAATCTAAGACTGAAGACGGCCGTGACCACCAACTGAACAGGAAAACCTCCCGCCAAGCAAGGCATGCTTGAGACCATCTCCTTCTTCGGATCCAAAACTTGCCGCAGTAAGGCTGGTGCGTCATTAAATGCATTGCAGGCTGTTGGTTCAATAAATGCTGTGAGTGCCATGTGCGTCCAGTGACGAGTCCAGTGCATGCCTTCACGCCTAACAGACTTCCTTGTGTGCAACAGGTGCATGCCAGTGCTTACAGAGCTGGCTTGACTTGATGTAGCCGCGTGCTTCTTTGTGTGGCGTGCAGGAGCCGTTTTCCGGCCATGCAGAGTATCTGATGTGCTTGAGTGTGTATCAACAGCGGATAGTCTACACGAAGGAAACAAGACCTTCCGCTGGACCCAGTGCGCCGGCCGAAAGCTTGCCTGCTGCCCGTCCCAACAATCCCTTATGACCTCCCTTAACCTACCAGAACCTACTTTTTGTAGGATCCCCGCAAAGCCCATTCTAGGGTTTTATCACAAGAACCTCCCAAAAAGTGGGATTTTGGTAGGTTAAGGACCTTTCTGAAACACATGTCAAAGGAAAGGTCGATTGCACGTGCCCTCAGCCCTGTCTCCCAGATGCCAGCAGCTCCTATAGAACAGTGATATACCTGATCTTACCTTCCAGACTCCCCAATTTTTTCCCCAAAGTTTGCTTGAAATCTCCAACTTTTACCCAAGGCCCTGGCAACGGCGCGTCGAAGATCCACAGGAGCCCAGGCAAAAGGCTCGAGGCTCCGATCCACCTCTTAGATTTTCAAAGCTAAAGAACACTAAAGTTTCAGCAGTACATGCATGTATGCATACATGCACATAGATATACATATATATATATATAGACATATACATGTATATACACACACTGATAATCATCACCACACATAAGGGCAATTCTAAGGCTAACCCGTATAGTTGCAACCAGCATAAAACAGCAAACTGTCAGAATGATCATGTCTTCATCTTCATCATCATCATCACCACTCCTGTGATCCGCGAGCTAGCAGCAAGCACCTGTGCTCCCATGGTCGTTACCTGTTCTGACGCCGCTTGCCGTTGTGAGGCTACCTACTGTAACTTGAACTTCTCCGTCGCCCCCTGACGCAAAAACAGAAGTCGGGCGTTCACACCTTCACACGAGACTGGATTTCATGCAAAAAACTTCGTGAACAACCATATCTATATATGTATATATCAATGAGCTACACTTCCGTCGGGCCTCTGGGCGATGAAAGGCATCGATGACTGCAGCTGATGGGAAGTCATCCGGGAATGACCACTGCCTGGGCTCTTGCAGGGTTGAAGGGGAGGGTATACGGCTACTTTATGGCTCCCGCAACACTGTGACGGGACGTGAGACAAGTTTGCGGGTTGCGGTGATTTCGGGCAGTAGTGTAGCAGCAAGTCCCCAAGTAATCCTATCTAAGTGCTTGTCTTACCAGCAA